GGAATTTGGTTTTAAGGCTTGTGGGCTAAGGTAGCAGGAAGGATCTTCAGTCTGGCTTGAGCTAATGTGCTCATAAGTGTGGTGGCACGGGTAGGTGCACGAGGTGTTAAACAGTGATTTTGGGCAACTCTAGAACGGTTCCTGGCACGTTCTAGGACGAACGTATGTTTAAGTGGGGGAGAATATAACGACCCGATTGGTCATTTCGAGTTCTAGCGTGTTGTTCGGCGGTTTGAGGCCTTGAGTAGCTTCACTTTATGTATTTTGACTTGTACGTTTTGTCGGAATTGAATATCGGGAAGTTCGGAATTGGTTTAGAAGGGAAATTCTCAATTCAGAAGCTTTAAGTTGGAAGAGTTGACCAAGGGTTGACTTTCTAGTAAACGACCTCGGAATCGGGATTTAAGGTTCCAATAGGTTCGTACGATGATTTAGAACTTGGGCGTATGTTCGGGTTGAGTATCGGGTGGTCCCGGAGCATTTCAGCACTTATTGTGGAAAGTTGGCATTTTGAAATTTTTTTAAATTTCCTAAGTTTGATTTGGAGTGGACTTTGATGTTATTGATATCCGTTTGGGATTCCGAGCCTTGGAATAGGTTCGAATTGTGATTTATGACTTGTACATAAAATTTAGTGTCATTCCGGAATGTTTAGATATGATTCGGATGCGTTCGTTGAAGTTTGAATGTTTGAAAGTTGCAAAAGGATTTTGATCGTCGATTCATGATTTTGATATTATTCATGGCATTTCGAGCCTTTGGATAAGTTCGGATAAGGTATTGGGGGAATTGTTGGTGTGATTGGACGGGGTCCCGGGGGGCTCGGGTGAGTTTTAGGGTGATTTCAGATCATTTCTCCATGTATTGCTCCAGCTGTTGCTGGTTCTGGTTTTGTTCATCACGAACGCGTAAGGGTGACCATTTTCACGAAGAAGAATTTGAGCTGGAGGATTTACGTCCATTGCTTTCGCGATGAAGTCCCGCGTTCGCGAAGGTGTGGGCGCATGTGCATCGCGTTCGCGAGTGTTGTCTCGCATTGGCGAAGAGGTGTTTTGGAGCTGGAGCAGGTTGCTCTTCGCGAACGTGAGGGTCAGGCCGCGTTCGCAAAGAAGGTCGGGTCTGGGCAGAGTTGCTTTAATTCGGGAGTTGGCTTACTTTTCTCTCATTTTCACTTGGGTGGCAGAATTTAGGGAGCTATTTTGAGGAGATTTTCATCAAGCAACACAAGGCAAGTGATTCCCACTTTTTTCAAGTTAAATACATGAGTTATATATATTTAAACATGAAAATTTGTATTTAAAAAGTGGGATTTTTGAAAAAAACCTAGAATTGGATATTTTGAGATTTTGACCACGAAATTGGACATGGAATTGGGAATAAATTATATATTTGAGTTCGTGGTGTTATGGATAATATTTTTCTTCGAAAATTTTCAAAATTCGGCCATGTGAGCCCGAGGGTTGACTTTGTTGACTTTTTGAGCGGAGTTGGGATTTGTTATAAATTGATTAATTATGATTGTTGGAGTATATTTTTATTGGTTTCATGTAGTTTGACTAGCTTCGTATTGATGGACATCGGTTTGAGGTGTTAGAGAGGCTTTGGAGCCGGTTATGGAATTTTGGAGCAAGGTAAGTCACATGTCTAACCTTGTGAGGAGAAACTACCCCGTAGGAATTAAGTAATTATGTGCTACTAGTTGTGGGTGCTAAGCACGCACGAGGTGACGAGAGTCCGTACGTAGCTAAAAGCATGTTTATGTACGGGTAGACTTAGGACTTTATCATGTAATATTTGATTTATTTGAACTCAATTTTCTAGTTTAATTACTTGAACTTATAATTAAATTGATTTGGGAATATATTAGGCCGAGATTTATCACCTTGAGTTGTTTTGCGAGATATTCGATAAACGGTAAAAGTCATATTTACATTATGCTCTTGTACTTGTGTTGCTAATACGTGGCCCGTAATTTGATAAGTTTCTTCCTTTCCCGCGGAGCAGGCCGAACGCCTCGGTAGTATTTTGAGATGCATCTCTGGTTCGCGCTGGTCGACCCTTATCATTCTACACACTATTCTAGATCGGGCCGCACGACCTCGGCATAATCTTGCGTGATACGCTAGGAGTTCGAATTCTCATGAGATTCCCCTTTGACTGAGATATGGCATTTATATGGTATTTCTTATCCGTTTGAGATTGCACTTGATATTTTTGATTTGTTGAGATATCATATGAGATGTGAGAGATTTATATTATCAAAGATATGTTAGAGGATTATGTTAGTTACAACTTTTACCTCATTATTATTGTTGTGTTTCATAGTTGTTTATAATTTATCATATTGATTTATTTGACCATTAGTAAGTGTCGATGTCGACCCACCGTTACTACTTCTCTAGGGTTAGGATAGATACTTACTGGATACACGTTGATTTACGTACTCATGTTATACTTCTGTACTAAATGTGCAGGATTTGATAGGTTCATTTGGTAGTCATCTTGGTGCGTAGGCGCAACTGCTGAGAAGACTTTATGATGAGCTGCATTCCATGCTACGTGCCGCAACCCATAGAGTCTCCATCATATTTATTTACTTCATCCTGTCTATTTTATATTCCAGGCAGATGTATTGAATGTGTACTCCTTAGTAGATACTTATGCACTTGTGACACCGGGTTTTGGGATATTCTAGTTGATGTTTATGGATTTGCATAATATTGTCATCTTTTATTTTTTATATCTTACTAATTATGTATGCAGCTACGATTTTCAATGCGTAAATTTCTTTATTTAATAAAATTTATGATTTCCAAAGTAATAAAATGATTAATTAACGTGATAGTTCACTGTTGGCTTGCTTAACGACGACGTTGGGAGCCATCTCGGCCTATAGTGAATTTTGGGTCGTGACATGGTTGCGAAAAGAGGTAAATGTCGTGTTCAACTTTGACTTGAGGGAATTAGGACTTGTTGGATCTATTTGCTACGTGAATTTTGTGGGACAACGTACATGCAAGGTGACGTTGTCATGGGTTAAAGTATGTGGGTGAAAATTATCTTATTGTACCATGTTGTTTCATTTCCTATGCCTTCCATGCCTTAGTTGGATTGTTCTTCTTTAATTGTTCGCTTTCGTGTTTATTGCTTATTTTGAAGTTGTAGTGATATTGAAAGTTGAATTTTCTTATTCTAGCACCATTTGAAGTAGATATTTGCTTCCCACCTTGTTTGATACTTTGGGTTATTAGTGTTGCTTGGTGAGGAAGAGTGAAAACCACGAAGGGTGTTGCTGTGCCATATTTGCATATTGTTATCATTGATTAAGTAAATGTGAGGATTAAAGCATGAAGGGTGATGTTGTGCACATGCTTTATTCATATATATTACATGGTGAGGATGAGAGTAAAAACATGAAGGGTGATGTTGTGCAATTGCATTTATATTATATGATGAGGATGAGAGTAAAAGCACGAAGGCTGATGCCGTGCAATTTGATAATTTTATTGCTTTTACTTGATACTTGGATTGTGAATTTAACTTGGCGGTTTCGTTGATTAATTCGGAAAGAGACTTACTTGGTGATTCTGTACTTATTGTTATGATTGTTACTTTTAATGTCTTGTCTTAGCCGTATCACTATCTCGTCGGGGTAAGGGTCGACACTTACTGAGTATATTGGATCGGTTGTAGTCATACTACACTTCTTTGCTTCTTGTGCAAATTTTGACGTTGGTACCGGTAGAGTCCCGAGAGGCACTTAGCAGATACCAGTCAACGATTCGAGGTAGAGGTGCATTCCGTTCGGAGGCCTTAGAGTCACTTCCTATTTCTTGTACTGTTTCCATTTTATTTTCGGATAGTGATGTATGTCTTTCAAACCTTGTATTTAGATGGATCTAGACGCTCATGTACTAGTGACACCAAAATCTGTGGATGGTTTATGTTATATCTTTGATCAATTATCAGATATCTATTGATTTTCTTTTTATATTATATGTTTATGTTGGCTTGCCTGGCATTCGGTGTTAGATGCCATCACGCCCCCGCGGTTGGTATTTCGGGTCGTGACAATGGTTTTGTGACATTTTTCAAGTTGGTCATGAAGAGTGTGTACTTAAAAGTTAAGTGTAGTGTATTAAAGTGCTTAGGAGAGTTAGTCATTAGTCCAAATATATCTTACTCATCCCTTAGCCTACATTATAGCCCGTAAAGACCTAATTGATCCTAGACTCGCGAGCTTAAATTCGTAAAAACATACACTACGAGCAAGCCTATGGTACGACCTGGGGATGCACATGAATTTCTTTGTGAGAGTGAGTGATTCTTTGTTCATATATGGGATGTCCTTAAATTATATTCGAATTCATATTTGAATGTGCGGCCTATATACTCTCTTGTTCTTTGGAGAGGCACATGATTCCGTGATAGATTTGTGACTTTAGTAAACTTCTCTTGTTGGGTGAGTACGCGGGTTGAGAATGCTAGCGACGACTAGTCAGTCTTTGAGGTAGAGTGGTTATAGGCAGTTTGTTTGAATTTGATTATACTTTGGCATATAGAAGTTAGAAAGTGTAGTAAAGTGTATCCAATGGCTTAACTATTTGTATCAACCGTGGTTGTATGTGTAGTGTATAAAATTGCAAAATGCTCCTCAATACATGATGTCTTATGTTGCATTGTTGGGATAGCGATATTTTAGATTGTTCGAGGACGAGCAAGAGCTTGAGTGTGACATGGTTAAGGGATTGTTGAAGTTTCTTTCATATAATTTTCTAGAAGTGTTTTGACGAGGAGTGTTACGAAAAAATTATCATCTTAAATTTCTTGATTAAAGAATTTCTTGAAAAATATTTTGGTGGTGGTAAATATAATCCAAAAATATGATGTTAGGGATAATTATAGTAAAAAGATTGAAACGGAAGAGAGTAACTTATTTTTTTTTTGGATAATAGCGGGGCAAATATGACCCGTAGTAGCATTGTGTCGTTTGCCTTTCTGAAAGGCTATACTTTTCGCTCCAAAATGAAGTTCAAAAAATGAACAGAGCAGCAGAAAATCTCTGCCTTTCCCTATTAAGCAACTGCAGAACCCTCCGAAAACTCAAGCAAATCCACGCCTTCGTTTACAAATCCGGCCTCGAAACTGACCCATTAATCGCCGGAAAAATCCTACTTCTTTCCGCCGTTCAAATCTCCGACGCTATTGATTACGCTCGCCGTCTCTTCATCCACCACCCAAACCCAGATGTGTTCATGTACAACACCCTCATCCGAGGTGAATCAGAGTCAGACTCACCCAATAACTCCGTCAGCTCGTTTGTTCGCATGCTAGGAGAATCATATTCCCCTCCGGATAGTTTCTCTTTCGCTTTTGCACTCAAAGCAGCGGCGAATTTGCAGTGTTTGAAAACTGGGTTTCAGCTGCATTGTCAAGCTATGGTTCGCGGGCTTGATACCCATCTCTTCGTTGGGACTACATTGGTTAGTATGTATGGGGAATGTGGATATGTTGAGTTTGCTCGGAAGTTGTTTGATGAAATGAATGAACCAAATGTCGTGGCGTGGAACGCGATAATTACAGCGTATTTTCGTGGAAATGATCTGAGTGGTGCAGATAGAATGTTTGGTTTAATTCCGTGCAGGGACTTGACTACTTGGAATGTGATGCTAGCGGGGCATACTAAAGCAGGGGATCTTGAGCGTGCGAAGGGGTTGTTCTTGCGGATGCCGAGTAGAGATGATGTTTCTTGGAGTACTATGATTGTTGGATTTGCTCATAATGGATGCTTTTATGAGGCGCTGCAGGTTTTCAGGGAGTTGGTTGGGAGTGGAAATAGGCCGAATGAAGTGAGCTTGACGGGTGTTTTATCTGCGTGTGCTCAAGCTGGGGCATTTGAGTTTGGGAAAGTTTTGCATGCATTTATAGAGAAAATTGGGTTTGTTTGGATTAGTTCTGTGAACAATGCACTTTTGGATACTTATTCCAAGTGTGGAAATGTGTTGATGGCTCGGCTTGTCTTTGAGAGAATGCCTGGTAAGAAAAGCATTGTTTCCTGGACTTCTATGATTGCAGGGCTTGCAATGCAAGGATATGGTGAAGAGGCGATAAAACTTTTTCACGAGATGGAAGAATCTGGGACCAGACCTGATGAGATCACTTTTATTTCTGTCCTTTATGCATGTAGTCATGCTGGTTTACTTGAAAGAGGTCATGAGATTTTTAGTAAAATGACAGGACATTATAACATCGAACCAACAATTGAGCATTATGGTTGTATGGTTGATTTGTATGGCAGGGCTGGTCAGCTTCATAAGGCATATAATTTTGTGGTTCAAATGCCAGTACCACCCAATGCCGTTATTTGGCGCACACTTCTTGGGGCTTGCAGCTTTTTCGGTGACATTAACTTGGCCGAGCAAGTAAAGAAAAGACTCTCTGAGTTGGATCCAGACAACTCTGGTGACCATGTTCTGTTGTCGAACATTTATGCAGTTGCAGGGAAATGGAAGGATGTTGATACGGTGAGGAGATTAATGGCTGAGAAGAATATGAAAAAAACTCCTGGTTGGAGCATGATTGAAGTGGACAAGATCATGTACCGTTTTGTTGCAGGGGATAAACTAAATGACATTACTGAAGAGGCTTATAATAAGCTAAGTGAGATAACATTAAAACTTAAAGTAGAAGGTGGTTATGTTCCAGAGGTAGGCAATGTTTTGCATGATATAGAAGAGGAAGAAAAGGAAGATACGCTGTCTAAGCACAGCGAGAAACTTGCTGTTGCTTTTGGAATGGCAAGGTTATGTAAGGGAAGCACCATACGAATTGTAAAGAATTTAAGAGTGTGCAAAGATTGTCATAGTTTTATGAAGTCTATATCTAAAGTCTACAAATTGGATATTGTGGTTAGGGATAGAAGTCGATTTCATTCTTTCAAAGAAGGTTCTTGCTCTTGCAGAGATTATTGGTGAGTGATGATTGATGGTCTGATCAAATTGGTAACACTCCCGTTTTCAGGGAAAACAACATTGACTGTGAATAAAAGACCCACATTATGGATGCTATAGAATGCTCCATTCTGACCATTGCAATGAAAGACTATGGAAAAGAAGCAGTCAAACATGTATGTCACCAATAGACTTGGAAAAGGCTAACACATCATGGAATTGTTGCTCCTTCCAGCTCTTCAGGTCTGCTGTATGAGGATTCTGCTTATTTAACAACTGAGGTGTAATGGCACTGAGATTGCGGTGCATTAATTTGATTTTTGCTTTATGCAGCATGTCTATTCACTTCCAGAGCCACATCTTTTATTGCTGAACATGCTAGTCTTATTAATCAGGTCGCAGATGCAAATGAAAATAGTGTGAGGGAGACTACTTAACTGTTCGGCATTGTCGATAGTATTAGATTGGTATGCAGTACATTTTTATGAGTGAGACATAAATGTCTGTCTTCAAACTGCAAAGTATCAGGAAATTATGGCTAAAACCAAAATGTGTCACAGGTTTATAATTTTTTTCTTTGCAAAATGTTCTTGTTTGCATACCCGAGGTCACTGCTGTTTATATTCCTTCTATTTGTATTGAGGAATTGAACGCCACGACATACATTGCAATAGGAGTTCTGGGACCAGGAACAAAAGAAACATAGTTCGGAAACAGTCCATAAGTATAATTTTCTGAATAAAAATTTAAAGACAAATTTCGGCCAATTAGCAAGTACATTTTCACTTTCTTTTATCTTTTACTATAACATAAAAACCAAAATAGGAAATTCTTGTTCCTTTCTTCCCATTTGACTTATGATTCTTGTGTCGAGCAATATAACGGCAGTCATGATCCATCCCCTCCCTCTTGTCTTGTCACAGGTAATTTAACCAATTTGTCAGTGCCTGAAGTTTCATAGAAGCTTAGCAATGATCTATAATGATGTATCATTGTTTTGGATTGCTAGATTCTAAAGTTCAAATTCCTAAACGGTTTTTATATGCTTCTCTTCTAAATCAAGCACAGCATTGCACCTCTTGGTTTTTCCCTTGGAAAGTTTTTCTGAAGTTTGTCCAAAGGTTGTGCCTTGTTCTGCTGGTAATTTTGTCCTCTTTTTCTGCAATGTATCTGTTGTTAATTGGCTCACTTTATTCAACTTCTGCACTAGATTATGCTTGTCCAAATTTGTTGATAGCTTCAGAGCGCTCCATTTCTATTGGGGGTGTAGGAGTGCGCTTTGCTAGTACTTTCAAACAAATGAATCAGATGAGAGATGATATAATGCTGCTATAGAAGCAGTTCGTGTTGCAGAGAAGGGCTTGCTAAGCCTGCTGCTACTTGCTCCCACCTAGGCTGCTCCACCTCTGACCTCCTATTGGTTTTGGAAGATATCCTAATAGGGAAGCAAGGTGAGCCTAGATCTTTCCCGACCTTGCTCCTTCCCAATTCTTGTTCAGTAGAAATCTCAACAGTTAGCTCTGTGATACCTGCTGGCCTAAGATCAACATAGATAATAAAAGGACAACACAATTGTGAAGTGTCTGAACTAGTCTATGTTCAATCACTTTTTATTCTTGTCGAATTTGAAGTAGGATTCTGCTGCATATTATCCATTGGGTAAAATATATGTTTTGACTGCTAGAACATCCAACTTCCGAGTCGCAAATTTTCTATATTGAATAGGATTTTCTCCACATTTGCAAATGCTATTAACCTTTTTGTTTGATTGATTTTGTGTTATTGCAGGTACGGTCTGCTAAGGGGGACACTAAGGGACCAACTACTCTCCTGCTGTGGCTGGTGAAACTCATAAGAAGAGCCATCAATCATGGTAATTGTGTGCCCTGGCGATTCATTCTTTCCCACATACTAGATCCTTACAACTTTTGAGGTCTTTAGGTTAAGATCCCCTATTATTTAAAGCCATCTTGTGAGTCAAGGAGATCTTCTCTACAATAGGTAGTCCTTTAACAAAAGCTTAATAGTTATTGAGGAGTACTGAGATTCAAAGAGCTAGGCAAAGTGTCTGTTCGTGAGCGAGGGAAGTGAAACACAGTAAGGGAGAGGGATAAACTTTTTTTTGTATCACTGAAATTCTACGATGAACCCTCTTCGTCGCAGTGTCTTAAGAACCTGACTAGGAACAAAGAAGACCGGGCTAAAAGAGATTTCACTTTCGGCAATTCAATTGGAATTTATCCAGATACTTTAATGTCTTTGTTTGGATGATATAAAGTAGTATATGTTAGCAATGAGAAGGAAATTGTGACTCGCAATATCATTGAGAGCAGATATGCACTTATAGAGCGGGTAGTTGGTTGCCTGTGTTCTTGCTGATTTCTTGACTGGTTTACTTGACCCAGTAAAGTGGGATTTGTCCAATTTTTTTCGAGGTGAATAGTTGGATACTGGTCCTTATTCTGGAAACTGTAGGTTCTCGAAAGAGGTCAAAAGCAGAAATAAAAGCTCGGAGACCAATGGGGTGATCAACTATGTTGAAATCCCTGGTGTTGCTCTCTTTCCCCAAGAGGGTGATCCTGAGATAGGTGCAGTGCAGATCAGCTCTTCAGTTTCTACAAGAGAAATTTGAGCTATAATCCTACAATGGTTGTCAGCTCCAAGTCCTTAACACAGTACTGATGAAGAGGTCAGTGGCTTACATGATAGTTCTGTTGATCTTGAGCAACGTGCAAAGACATATCTCTAATATTGAAGTTCTACCTCTTTAAATCCTTCCTAAGATAAGAGAAAGTTGAGTATGAAAACTATTGTAAGACTTGGTAATCTCCAATTGCAGCCCCTTAGTCTACATCAGAGATGCACTATACTTTTGTAACTTTGCAGGGATTTTGTGAGGTAATAAGTATTCTATTTGACCTTTAGGGCCTTGATATAATGAGGTGTCTCCCGTATGATCCTTCAGTTGATCAGCTCCACTAGCACTGAAAAATTATGTTAGATAAGAATGGACCTTGGGCCTAACTTAACCCCAAAAGCTAGCTTATGAGGTGAGGATTGCCCAAGCCATATAAGGAGACCAAGGACCTCAAATTCCTCTGATGAGGGACAACTCAACACCCCCCTCACGCCCAGGCCTCTGGAGCGTGGACAACATAAATGGGGGCCCAACATCGGTAACAATAATTGGGATGGGCCTGGCTCTGATACCATGATAAGACCCCAAAAGCTAACTTATGAGGTGAGGATTGCCCAAGCCATATAAGGAGACCAAGGACCTCAAATCCCTCTGATGTGGGACAACTCAACAGTAGCAACACGGAGAAACTGTTTGCAGATAGTAAGCCTTCTTGATATCATGTGCAGTGAGTTGATTACAAGCATTTCTTGCTATCATATGTTATATTTGTCTTTTTTCTTATTATACCCTTACCGCTTTCTGATTTAGTTTCTGAAGAACTAATTTGCACTACTGATATTAAGCTTAGTTAGTATCCGTGTGGTTGGCAGAAGTTGCATTCATTAACAGTGCTTGAATCCATAAAGCACAATGATTTATGAATACATGTCGACAGATGAGGTTTCAATGAAGTTATTTAGAACGTAGTCAGTGGAAACGACTTCAGTGCAATTTTTATTTGGCTGGGATCAATCAATGAAATAAAAAATATATATGATGGGAAGGAGCGAAAAAGACTCCCGTATGAAGTATGTTATTTCCTTGCTTTGCTGAGGGGACTCAGTATATGATTAAGCTCTCTGATTAGCTTAGTTGTTGAATTTGAGGGAACTCTGATGAACAATTAGTCAAAGGGTAAGGGTAGGAGGAATGGAGTAGGCTATGTGCTCGGTGGAGTTCCTACGCTATTACTCAAAAACAATTTAGCATATGAATCTATAAGACCTCTGATATTGGAGAAGCTAAAGTGCATAAATTGGGACTTGGACATGATAGATAATGGGCGTTATACTTGTTGGACTTTAAGCTATTGGGCTAAGCTATTGGGCTTTAAAGACTAGAAGTGTGAATTGGGAAATGGTGGAAAATAAAAAATTTGGAAAATTTGAATCAAGTGAGCTTTGTCAAATGAACTTTGTCCCTCATTGGTGAGGGACAACTACACTTCTGTGTATAAATATAGGATCACTTCTTAGAGCTCTTAAAGGAGTTGAAGAGAATGAAGCCCCGCACCGTCGTCGTCGCTCGGCTCGGCTTCGGATTCGTCAAATGATCGATGAGATTAATTTTTTGACAAAGTTTATTTAATTAATTATTTAAGAATTAATTAAGTGTCAGTCAGTTCATTAACGGAATTAACTGGAATCCAAAACGCTGAACGTTGGTTTTCCCTTTTGAACAGACACCTCTTCCTTTTAAATATCTGTTCACATTATGAACAGACATCACACCTCTTCCGACAATTGCCTATAAATTCCAAGGCATGGCTTCCTTTTCACACACTGAAAAACATAAAACTTCCTTCTGAAAATCCTGCATTCTACTTCGCAGTCTCTCTTTCAAATTCGTAAGTGTGATTTTGTTCCGTTTTTTTAGTTCGTTGGTATCCTGCAGTTTGTATTACCACTGTTGCAAGAAGGTTTATTCCGTTTCATCCTGAGGATTTAATCCATTACCGTGGCAACTTGTGAGGGGGTTAAAATTCCTTAAGGACGCACAAGAAAATTGTGGACTCAGAATATTTCTTATCGTTTACAGCTGTTCAGTTTCTTCTAACAGTTTTTTCTAATTTCTGTTTTAATACAGTAGCGATAATAAGCTTAAGGAATTTTAATTAACGTTTCTGTGTTGAAATCTATGTTGAACTGTTATCTATATTTTGTATACTGGTTTGGAGACTAAAGCCTTGGTGCTTTCTACTCCGATATATTTTTTTACTCCGGTTTAAAGAACATAAAAACTTTACCGGGGTATTAAATTTGAATACGGTTTGAAGACTATAATAAACTTCACCATTTATATTTTGAATGTTTGGTTTGGTATTCAGTTTGAAGATATAAAACCTTCACTGATTTTAAAAAATTCTGTTTGTTGCCAACTTTACAGAAAAAATGACAAATGAGGACCAAACTAATGCTAATGGAATGGGTGCTACTGTTACGAGTGTTGCTGCCTCGTCGAACCGTTCAACTCCTGCTCATGCTATGGCACCAGCAGAAAAACCCGGAAAGTTTTCCGGTATTGACTTCAAACGTTGGCAAATGAAGATGCTCTTCTATCTTACTACGTTGAGTTTGCAGCAATTCATCAAGGAGGATCCTCCGGTCGTGGCTGAAGGCACTCCGAATGACGAACGATTTGTTGTAACTGAAGCATGGAAACATTC